TTGTATTTCTGTCTTAAGCATCCAACAAAGCTGGTAAGTTCCAACCAATACTGGTATTAAAACTCTGTTATGGAATCCCCATAAAGTTGTCTCTGACTTTGATCATATTAAGAATGAAAGGGATCTGAAGTTAAAACAAGTGAATTAAACTAGTATATTTATGGTTTATATTCAGTATATTTTCGGTATATGATAAAGAAATTTATGGCGAGATATAATTTTTTATGTATAAAATCAATTTATATAGGAGGCGATGGCGATGGCAGTTCACGTCGGTGGTTCTCGCTAGTCGGGATTCACCAGCTTGCGTCGCCGTGAAAGAAGAGCTCAATCTCCGATACGGCTGATGTACTTTATGGTTAATATAAGAAGAGAAATTGGGAGATGTTTCGGGCTGCTTTTGCGACAATTGTGAGGTATGGCGCCGAGATTCATGGAAGTCGCTGAGATAGGACTTCGTCGGATGAAAAACTTCTCAGAGGACAGTTTTTATTTTGTATAAGTTGTGGGTATATGTTGTGTATATATAGAGTATATGTTCTGTATAATATAAGGGCTAAATTGATGATTTTTTTTTTTTTTTGGGTATATGTATGGTTTGTATTCAGTATATTTTCGGGCTACCTTATATGTATGTATGATTTTTATTGACAAAGCATAAACTGATGATTTTTTTTATATGTTGGTTTATATTTAATATATTTTCAGTATATTTTTATGAATGTTTTTGTTGGTGTTGTGTATATGTATATTTTTATATTAAGTAATGTGTTATAATATGTTTTTATATATATACTTTTATGAATGAAAGAAAAACAAAAAAAAAAAGAGGAAGATATAATTTTTTTGATGGAAGACATTTTCTTTTCATTCCAACATATACTGAAAATATACTAACATAAACGCAATATATACTAACATAAACGCAATATATACTACATGATAGTTGTCGTGAATTAAGGAATTTCAGTTGCGCACATATGATGAATATATACTAACATAAACTCAATATATATCATCTAAGAGCTGCGTGAATTAAAATATTCTAGTTGCGTGAAGACTATGTTTTGAAATTCAAATATGATGACATTTCTATCTTCAATCATGAAATCTTGCCTACAAACATGGAATGGTTGTTCTACCTACTTGTAACTGATTTTAGGGATGAATGTAATTAAATTTTATCTATTAGGTATTTACACAATTAAATTGTTATGAATTGTAATATTGCAATTACTTTCAAATCATGTAGCATATATAAAAATTTCCCCAAAAGCAAATGGCAAAGCCTGTTTTGGGCCTTTTTTTTACATATGTATTCAAAGTTGTAAATTTTTTTCAAAATTCAAAACGAAAAGCCAACTTAAAAAAAAAATGAAAATCATGTATCTTATATTATTATTACAAAATACAATTAACAAAATAGATAGAAACCTTACATAATAAGTTTAGCACTTTAACGTTTAATATGATAATGATAAAAATATATACACTTATATATTATACATATAAGATAAAAAATATATACAATTATTTTGTATATAGAAAAATGATAATATGCACAACAAAACTAATGAAAAAAATATATGCAATTATATATAATACTTATAAAATTTATAAAAAACATATATTAAGTAAATCGACTCGATCGATTCGACATGACCAGTGAATCGATAGCTTCACCGGTTCGATTTTCAAAACCTTGATTTTTACACAATTACAACTAGAGGTGGCCAAAAAAATGTAGGGCCCGAGCCCCGCTCGAAATCATGGACTATGACCGAGTCGGGCCCGACCCCAGTTTGGGCCCCGTATATAAAAAAAAGAAAATAAATAAAAAAGCAAACAAAATATGTGTTTTTTCCCGGGCCAGACCGGACTCGACCTGGATCACCGAGCCATGGTTGAAAAAACAAGCCCTGGACAAGTTCGATTAAAATCCTAGTCGGGCCCAGACCCGTAGTCAACGGACTTGATCGGGTCCGAGTTCGGGCCGGGCGGGCCCGTGCCATGTCTAGTTGCAACAAAAACAATTATTGCCTAGTAGTTTTTCCATCCACTTAATTAACAACACTTCAATGAAAATTCCACAAAAGAAATTATTGCTTAGTACTTTTTCCATCCACTTAATTAACAACACTTCAATGGAAATTCCTCAACCTTCACATTTTCTTCAAAACTCCCCATCTCCACCCACTAATGTCTATTCTTTCGAGGCCGCCCCCCACAAAATTCTTCGAGGGTAAAATTGTCAATAGGAGATATTTGTCCAGTGGCCAATCGGCCAAGTCCACTTTCTTCAAACCTCTCACCGACGCCGCCACCGCACAGAGCGAGGTTCGGCTGATCTACGGCGGGTCTACTGGTGGCGCAGCCTCTCCGAGAAAGCACCCAACGAGCGTGGTACACATGGCGTCCTCAGATGTTAACAGCACAGATGATCGTATCTCTCGGATCGCCTCCACCATTCGGGTCATACCAGATTTCCCCAAGCCCGGTGAACGCTCTTTGAGTTTAAAAGCCTCGCTGTCTTTTTGGTCACCAGGACTGTGTCATTGAGCTGAATTTTTATTTTTGTTTGAAAAAATGTTATGCAGGGATCATGTTTCAGGATATAACGACGCTGTTGCTTGATCCGAACGCGTTTAAGGATACGATCGATTTGTTCGTTGAGAGATACAAAGACAAAAATATCAATGTTATTGCAGGTAATGTATCTTATGTTCTATCAATCTGCTCCGAAGTGGAAATTTGGAAAGTATTGTTTTAAGTTTTTGTTGGTGTGATTTATTGAAATCAGAGTGAGAAACTATGCGCTGCAGTGTCTTTTCGTGAAGTTTTCTTATTGGTTGTTGAATTCAGATGGGACACTTTTCTTACTGTGGATTTGGATCTTATGTTCTATCTGCTAATTCCATCGATTAAAGCGAAAAGAAATAATTAAGGCTTGGTGGATTGTTCATAAACTGATGAAAGGATACTGTTTTGTAAGTCGTAAATGAAGCTATGCTATTCATTCAGTTTGCTTAATTGAATCGAATAAACAGATTCTTGGCGAATCGTTAAACTGATTAAAGGAGAATAATTATTTGTTGGATAGTGGAGTATTCTGTTTAATATGTGATTCAAGAATTTGTATCAATCTTTTAGAGTTGGTTTGAAATTAGTGTTATTGGTACAAGAGTTTTGACCCTAATGAAATGCACAATGAGTTGTAAATCATGAGACTTGTTGCAGGTGTTGAGGCAAGAGGTTTTATATTTGGTCCCCCTATTGCACTGGCTATTGGAGCAAAATTTGTTCCTATGAGGAAACCGAAAAAGCTGCCTGGTACAGCTTATTCCCATCTTGATCATTCAACTAAAAACATTTCTTTTTCTTTTTCTTTTTCTGTATTTCTTATGCGAAAGATCTATTTTCTTTTTCTTTGCATCTCTCTGATATGTGTTTTTGCTCCAATAATGTGTTGTAAATGGTACAAGCAAACGAAGATGCCTGTTTACATGGTTCTTTTCATTGTTCTGCATTCCTACTCTCATCCAGACTTGGAATTTCTTATGGATGTTAAACTGCATGATCATAAATTATATTTTGATGCTCCTTTATATTCAAAATTAAGTCTTTTCTATGTGAAGTGTGATTAAACTCTTACTGAATCAACATTACTTTCTGTGCAATTCGAAATGCTGGAACTGTTAGTACACTTCTGTATTTACCTGAAATATTTTTTGCTTGCGATTTTAGGCTCTATATTGATAGTGACCATAAATGATCGAAAACTTTATAAATGATTGAAAACCATAAATTTGAAAATTTAGTTCAAGTCATATTCATTTTGACAGACGATGATAAAATTCTGTTAAATGCTCTGGCAAACATGAAACAACTATTTGTTTTTCAATACTACGATGCATATAATTACATCTACTGTATGTTAGTCTTGATTCACATCAAACTCTCGTGTCGCTCTGCCTTATGATTTGTCGTCATTTTGAAGATTGAGTTGCTAAATTCCTCATGGACTATTATCCACTCGCGTTTGATGGAAGAAGCATTTGGTGGAAAAAAAAAAAAAAAACTGAAAATTAAAATGCCTTTTGATATATTTGGCATTTGATATTGTCTATGAGGTGTACTACTTTAGAGTTCAGATTTACTGTTTCTTTTTCGCTGTTATCTATTTCTCTTGCAATTTCAGTTGGTTTATTTATAAAATATATGTGGAATTGTTTCATATACCTTCTGGACTATTGGTATATGTTAGTTATATTATATTTTTGAGGATTTTCTTTTTCGAAATTCATCTTGGTTCTTTCAAGAAAAATTAACACATAACATGTGTTTTTTTCCTCCTAGTTCATTTCAGTCTAATACATAATTTCGTGATCATGTCAGGGGAGGTAATATCAGAAGAGTACTCTTTGGAGTATGGAACTGACACAATGGAGATGCATGTTGGAGCTGTACAGTCTGGAGAGCGTGTGGTAGTGGTGGATGATCTCATTGCCACAGGCGGCACCTTAGCTGCTGCAGTTAGCCTGCTCGGTATGGTTCTTTCATTGAACTGTAGATACCCATGCCTTTTCACTTCTGTTCTCCCTCTCTCTCTCCCTCTCCCTCCCCCCTCTCCCCCTATTTGGTGTTTTTAGCTTTTTTTTTGTCTTATTCTTTTGATTTTGTCTTTGTTTGTTAGTTTTATGTGCTTGCTACCTTTTCAGTTTTCCTTTTTTGTGTGTGGGTGTGTGTTGGTGGTAGGGGTCGTCACTGCTCTTTGTCACCTTTAGTTTTAAATGTGTTTTCTTTTAAAGAAAAAGGAACTATCCAGTACCAATTGCACTGTTCTAGTGTTTGCTTTTAGTTTGTGCCGAGTCTAATATGATTGGTCACTTCATTAAATATATTAAGATTAATCTTTTTTGGCAAAAGGAAAAATGAAAGATAATGTACCTGTTCTGTGAAATATTGAAGTTTGTGAAAATAAATAGATAGAAAGTATTACTACAGAAGTATCGGAATCTATGTGATGTCTTTTTTTTAGATAAAAATCTTAACAGCATAAAAGAAGGATGCTCTTGAATCATTTAAAATGCTGTGTAATAGAGCACTAGAAATAAGAAGAGATCCAATGATGAATGATCCAAACAACATGGGAGCAAATCTGGTAACACGTGGAGGACGTTCAAAGAAATATTTTGCATGGAAACAGTAGATAAGAGCATTTACAAGATGAGACAACTTGAGGAAAAAAGGAGAAAGTATTTTTGTTATTGCAGCATGTGGTTTTAAACAACAGGCGGAGAAGAAACACATTGCTATATATTGCATTCTTAAGTGGGATGCTTTATGAGAAACTTGGTTGACTGGAAAACTTGTGGTTTGGAGCTTACAGAAGGGGACAAATTTTGCATTAATAAAACAAAATGAAAAGCCAGTTCTTATACTGAAGAAATTTTTTTACATTGTTTCCTTTGACGAAACTGGAGAATTTGATTCCCTGGGAAAGTTGCGGTCTTTGGACTTGTAAGCAGGTTTCGGAGAATCATTTATTTTGCAAACTTATTCCATGATGCATCTAAAGTTATGTTAAGGCATTTCTTTCCCTTAAGCATCATGTCCCTATGTTACTAAAATAATTCAAATTTCTCTCATTTGCACTACCCTTTACTAGATAGTTTTGAAGTCTGCCACAGTAATGTAAAACATTTGATCTTTTCTTAATGAAGTGGCTAGCTGCATAATGGATTTTGAGATTGATCAATGTCATAAATTCTCGGACGTCATACATGACTGTGTTCAGTTTAAAAAACGAAGTGGTTTTTCGGTTGGTTCGCTGGTGGTTGTAGATCTTTTATATTGGTTGTATAAAAAATGTGTTGGCACTGAAACAATTCTTGTATATGTCTTATTAGGCACTGGTTTCCAGATACTTTTAATTTGAGAATGACCAGGCGAACTAACATTATTTGTTACTCAAAGTACTTTCAAATGGTTTTGATCTTTTAATGCAGAGCGTGTTGGAGCAGATGTTGTTGAGTGCTCTTGTGTTATTGAGTTGCCAGAACTTAAGGTATGACACCACAAATCAAAGCAAATACTAAGACACACATATAGTTTAACGAATTGCTGCATATTTTCCTGGCTTTCTTACTCATTTGAGGTCCCAGTCTATGGAGCCTACGTGTTATTAGGAGAATTATAAAAACCCTCATTAAGATTCTGCTTTATTACAAAGAAACTCTTGTTTATTTGTCGAAACATCAAACATGCCCGTGACATTTTCTTTTATTAATTGTACGGTTGTGGCTGACTGGGTGTGCCTTGATTCCAGGGTCGGGATAAGTTGGGGGACAAGCCGCTGTTTGTTCTTGTGAGCTCATCAATATGAGGGTGTTATTAATCTTGATTCTCGTGGATGATTTGTTTGCTTGTGTTCACCGTCTGCCAAAAAGACGCCCAAATTTGGGTAGATGGTGGTTCGTATTGTTCACGGTTATATTGCTTGTATTTTTGGAGTGAAGTACCGTTCATAATACTCCAAATTATTAATTCAACAAATCAATTGAACTTTTGATTGCAGCCTGTGAGTTTCAACAAACTATTAATTCAACAAATCAATTGAACTTTTGATTGCATCCTGTGAGTTTCATCCTATCGGTGTGGGCTATCGACATTAGATTTTCACCGTTGGATCAAATACCAACACACATAGGTATGTGTGTGTTTGAGTGATGATTTCGAAAAATAGCGTCCACACTAGTAGGACGATCCTTCCCCAATTTTACTAAAATTTTTAAATTTTGCATGAATATCTATAAATATTAATCCAAAGCATAGGACAGTGTTTAGGCCAAGGTTCTAATAGTTAAAGAGAGTTTACCAAAACTTCCAAAGATGGTAATTCTAAACGACATAATGAGTTAAGTCTTTTATAGTTTATACATGTAGCTATTTTTTTTTTTTTTTTCTCGAACGGCAACGATAAAAACTTATAAAACTCAAACGTACAAATGCAAACGACCAATCAACTGGTCGACTGGAGAACAACTACCTACAACAGATAATGAGAGAAGACTCCAACCGGGTAAGCAAATATTATATCTCCCTTCCAAAGCTTCCCTAGTCAACTTTGAGCTAGAAGCACAACTAACAACATTACAAGAAAAGGAGCAAAAAAGCATGAGGACCAAAGTGAGTATAAAACAACATTAAAACCAGAAAAATTCCTTAAGAATTTGTGGCCATTGGATCTTTTAACATCCAACAGTAGATATTGGACAGCAACATATGTTGTTTAAGCAAGCACCACATATTAGTAAATTTAGAGGAAAAATATGCTTTCAAGTTTTCATTTTTTCTTGAAAAAAAAAACGTTTTCCTTTTTTCATTTTTTTATTTAAAAAAAAAAATGAAGAAAACAAAAATATGAGAAGCGGAGTGACATAACCATTGGAAAGCTCTACTCAGTTGCCGGATAACTTTCGAGTTTCCGGCGGCACACGGGGCATGAATTATGGGCGGAGAGCCACTGAGAAATGCAAATTTCATGGAAAACATGGCCGCAGTGGAGTTTCTTGCCCGAGCCCAACCTCTCCAAACAAACCGTACAGTCACGGCCGCTCCCCATAACCACCGTCGGCATTTGGTTGACCACGGATACGCCGTCGGTAGTTGACTTTTCGGGGCCTTCGGGCATCGTCAAGGCCAAATCCAGGTCAAACAATTCATCCATGGCGGTCAGCATCGTCGTATGAATGAATGCTTACTACGAGCGTTTGAATAAAAAATTGGATAATTTACTCATTTCTGAAAGCAAAGCTTTGGTCTTTATATATAGGTGTAGACGGCGGCGCAAGTTTGATGTGAACCGGCAATTTGTTGACTTTTTTTTAGTTTGCAAGAAGGGCGACACGCAATTGCTCCTTTTATTTTTTTTAGCCAACTAGAGTTATGCCCGGCTAATTCGTTGGTCGACTCGGGTCGCACATTTGGCATGGGTGAGCCTTTCAACAAGAATTTTCTGCATCCACAAGGACTCGAACTCGAAACTTTACTTAAGCGGCATCAAACTGCTTACCACTTGACTCAGTCCCTGTACAGTCAATTGCTCTTTATTATCACACACTTATTGTTACTATAATTTAGTATATAGATTATAGTATAATTTGTTAACTTTTTTGAGTTTCCAAGAAGGGTTACAGCCAATTGCTCTTTATCACACCACTTATAATTTAGTATATAGATATAGATTTTTTGTATAGATTATAGTATAATTTGTTGACTTTGTTGAGATTTTTTGTATATATTATAGTATAATTTGTGGACTTTTTTTAGTTACCAAGAAGGGCTACGGCCAATTGCTCTTTATCACACCACTTATTATTATAATTTAGTATCTTTGTTTATTATATATATATATATATAATATAATATTATATATCTTTGTGTATATATATATTATTTTTGTAAAAAAAAGAAGTACCTAAAAAATATTTACTGTGACATATTTTGAATGGCAAATTAATAATACTTTAATACTCATTTTATCTTATATTTAAGATTAATAACTAATATTTACCTAAAAAAATCTTACTTTGACATGTTTTTAATGACAAACTAGTAATACACTGACACTCATCATATTTTATATTTATAATTAATAACTAATTTTTAATTAATTAAATATGAAGACACGAACAAAACATTCCACATCTCCTAAAAATCAACCACAATATTGTCGCACAATTATTTCTCACGAATTTATTTTTTTTGACATATAGAAGAATTTAATTTATTAGATACAAATACACGGATAAAAATATTTTACATCTTTTAAAAATAAACAATATTCCCGCACTATTTTTCCACAGGAATTTATTTTATTCCACATATCCCTGAAAATGCTTTATTCTATATCTCCTAAAAATTATCTCAACATAAAAAAAAAAAAAAAAAAAAAAAAAAAAAAAAAAAAAAAAAAAAAAAAAAAAAACAACAACAACAATAAAGCTTTGAAAAGATATAGAATTGTTGTTTTGAAAACGTTCTTAATTTTAATATAATTTTGGTTGTAAAATCGTAATCATATTTAGTAGTTCTAAAGTATAAAAGTTTATAAAATAAAAACTGATCCAACAGCTAAAATCATAATCATATTTAGTAGTTCTAAAGTATAAAAGTTTATTAAAGAAAAAGCTAATCCAACAAAAAAAAAATGTAATAAAGACCTATAAATATGTCAAATATTTTTAACCATTCATTCATATATCTACAATTTTAATAGAACCATAAATCTTGCTAAAAAAAAATGAAAACTTAGTTGAAGTGTAGCCTGTGATGTAGCACTCATAATAGCTCGACAGGCCGCTATGACCTTTTAATTTCGATATTCTAACGAACCTCGCATACTGTATATACTCCCTCACTTGCATTTTATATCCCATTTCTACACAATCGTCTAGCGTATGCCTAAGCCTTCCCATTAATGTCCGAGCGTCTACATTTGGATAGCATATGTTTTATATCCCACTTCTACACAATCGTCTAGCGTATGCCTAAGCCTTCCCGTTAATGTCCGAGCGTCTACATTTGGATAGCATATGTTCTCAAACCTCTCGCTTCGCTCTATTGTTTCCATTTTTTTCCGTTAATGTCCGAGCGTCTACGTTTGGATAGCGTATGTTCTCAAACCTCTTCGCTTCGCTCTCTATTGTTTCCATCTCGGATCATCTTAATTTTCGCTTTGAAAGAAACTGAATAAGCTCTTACATTCTTCTACTTTCTTGTCTCATTCCCCACCAATCTTAGTTTCATGCATCCTTCAATTTTCTCAGTTTATTTTTCACGTTTTCTCCCCCTCCAACAATTTTGGAAACTCAAAAGTGAAGGACCATTCCAGAAACGCCAACACTAAAAATTACCATTAATATACACCCAGTGTTAAAATGGTTAACTAAAATGTACTACTTGCATATATATGATAACAGCAAGAAAGTAAAACCTGCTTGCTATGCAAGCAACAAATACCATAATAAGTTTGTCACAATAGCAAGTGCGAACAATAATTTTTATATGGGGGAACTCTACACATCCGTTCTACTTCATGGCCGTAAAGGGTGCCCTTCGGATGCCTTGGAAATAATAGTTGCCCCAGGACGAACAAAAAATAGCAACAAAATGTGACTTATTCCTTCCGTTACATAGGGCGCAATAGCTGATACAATAAATCGAAAGCTCTTAATACAGAGTTTAACCCTCAGCCAAACCAACAGCAAAGTGACCAGCATTTTTATCCTGCACACACATATAAAAATGTTACAGGTTTCAAGATTATTGAGAAAAGCAGTCTAAAATTAAGCTAATTTTTCGGTGCTGTCTTGGAAGAGATATATATCAAGCTAACGAGGATGCAAACCTGAGATAACATCCGTTGTTTGTTAAGTAATTGTGTCCTTGCTTTGCTAAGGACAGAGTTTGGCGACCTATACATCCTCTGTCAAATACAAATAGGACACATGGCAAATTAGCTTATATATGAGAGGATGTGAAAAACTGACTACCAAATCTAAGAGGTGCCTCTGTATGAAAAATCTGCAGGCCAAATATGAATACACTCTTATAAAAATAGTTGACAGATACAAGTCTTCTTATACAACTGACCTTTTTAGCCCCAGAAATGCGATCGCCTGGTAGCAGCTTTTTCTTGGGCATAAAACCAAAGACATCATGCAGAAACTGATTATCCTGTCCGACCCAACATAAAAGAGCAGGTCGATGATCAGTAATCCGCAACATAAATTCCAACTAGCATTCGAACAATGAAATACAAAGAACAAATTCTACCTGCATGTGCTTAACGAATCCTCCTCCAAGAAAATGCTTTAGAAAGTTCAACTACAATTCAAACGGTAAAGAAATGTCGGAAGCAGCAGCAAAAATAAATAAATAAATAAATAAATAAATGTTTGGGCTTGTAAAACGTAAAAGAATATGAAATTAGAACCTGTATCAACTCAGCCCATGTACTTGTGTGTAAAGACTCCCCACCAATCTTCATCGAGGTCACGGGAGTATAACCATCCTGATATCAGATTCAACAAGTTTATATAAATTAATTTCCGAAAAAAAAGAAAGATATTAACACAATGAAACTTACGTACCTCGATAAATTCCAGTATATCTCGAAATGTGTTCCTCTGATTATTAAGGTCTTTCTTTGCACTACCCCTGCCACTGGCCTCGGACGAAAGACCACGCACTTGATTAAGTACTTTATTCTTTAACCCGTGCATGAACATTGATTTTCTCGAGCTATTCTGCTCATCATCGGTAGAAACCTTAGTTTCTCCACAGAATTTCTCAAGGCTCCCAACCTCAAATATTAAAGCAAGAGCTTCACCAGCTGCGATGCGTAACTGTCTGTCGTCTTTATCCAGCAGCGTTGATAAATAAGAGACTGACCTGAAGAAAATACTCTTAATAAGACCTCACAGCTCAATCACAACATGCATTAACTTCATATATCATAATACTAGTTTATGAATACTAACTCTTGCCAACTCATGCCATTTAGTTCCCTGCCACTTATTGTAGTAAGAAGAAATGACCAGGCAGAGACCACTGTAGTTATTATTGCTGGCGAAGGCTTAGCAGCAGCCACCTGAAGAACACCAGTGAAATTATTCACTCACAGAAAAAAATACTTACAAAACGCACACACGTAAAAGAATGTTAAAAACATTAATTCATACATTGGGACCCAATTTCGGATGAGCCATCTGCCACATTATTTGCATTGATTCCTCTATTTTTTCGGGTTCTTCACCACCGACGAAAGTAATGATAGCGAGACACTCAAGCAACTGACATCAGAACAGAAGAATATTAAATCATGCATTACACAAATGATATAAATTGGACAATGAAATACACATGCAAAATTATGACATACAGATAATATCTTAGATGTCTCGGGTCGAATTCTAAGAGCTTCGGATATAGTGGAGACTGATTCTTCCAAAATCTCATGTGCTTTCTCACCAGGACCGCTGGTGAGAGCTAAAAGACCTACCAAACAAATGCAACATGGATAAATTGTTACTTGATAAATAACAACAGAGAGTTGATAGCGATAAGTGAAAGGCCACGGACAAACCTATTGCATGACACGCCAGTGTAACCTCTTTTGCAGAACCCTTCTTGATTGAATTCAAGCACTGATGTAGCAATGTAGCAAACCTAGACGAGAAAAGACAGTTTTGCTTGAGTCTACAATAACACAACATTAAACCAGTCTTAGACGATAAATGCATTTATAGAAAATTCAAAAGCCCAATACACTAGTCCCCAATTACAATTGAAATATTAAATTTTAGATATGTAAGGACTAATAATCCTACACAGACGTTAACACAAATCAAGATTAGAACCAGCTACCGTGCCTATTTGGAGAATATTCACCTATAAGGTTGCAAAGATATGAGATGCAGAACAAAAACATAAAAAGTGAAAAATATATACTTCTTTTCGACAAACTCATGCTGTACGCTGCTGTTGAAGGCTTCAATTATCGATGCCAAAGCCTTCTGTCTAGTAGAGCCTCTGCACACCAAAACATAAAATACAAATGCATTAGTAGTAGTTAATGTTGAAATTAATCTGAATGTTTTCTCCTCAATGCAAGTCATTACAGTAGATTCAATTTATTATTTATTGGATTCATGCATGACTAAAAGTTTTCCAATTAGCACTTTGGCAGGCATAAACTCTTATTTATTTCCCATTATAGTGTAACAAAGGACCAATACTAACACCCAAGAACAAAAAATTAAATACATAGCCTAAAACTGGTTTATTTTTATGTATGCAATTATAATTTCATAAAGATATACCTCTTCTCATACAAAGCATCTAAACTTTCATCAAGCAAAGTATCCTTATCCACCAGCACTTCCCCAATAACAGGCTCAACAAAATTACCCAGCTGCATAGATGATGATGACGAGCTCAAACTTTCTGTATCATCACTATCGAGCATCTTAGAGTTTTTCTTCGCCGAACTTCCTACAATGAAACACAACAATACCCATTAACCTGATTGTTAGTCTGACAGGAATACATCAACTGGTCAGTGATAAGAGATTAAATGAAACAATTTTACTGAGACAACTTCATCAGTATGTATTATGACATTGATTAATGATACGGTCTTTTTGCACAAATAAGTTAAAATGACTTCCCCCCAAAGGTCATATGCATCCATTAGTGCTACTTGGCCGAAGAATTCTGAAACTAAACAATATCTGAAAATAATAACTTCTACTAGGATTTGGTAATCTGGTTCTCCCTTTTTCCTTTTCAGCAACAGAAATTTGAAAAGAGGATAGTGAAAGAACTCAATTTCAATTACAGAAAAAAGACTGAAAAGGCAGTTAGCACTTCAATTTATAAATCCATCTAAAGCTTTAATCTTATAAAGCTCTCAGTTTCAATTGAAGAACAAATTAGGAGGTCAACCCAATTCAAGCTTCTTGATGAATACAGATCATCATTGGGCTACAAGCGATTCTCACTATATTGAAACGTGAACAAGCTTAATCATGATACACAGAAATCCAGCTCAATTATTCACTCTATTCCCATCGAAGTGATCGAACTATATTGAATTCTCAATTTTTGATGAAACATACCAACCCTCCCACAATTTTTTTTTTTATTTAACGGAAAATTACTTTATACACCAACAAAAAGATCCCAATTTTGTAATCCCACTGAAAAATTCTACCCTGCAAGAATAACAGATATACAGACAGAAAAAAAAAAAAAAAAAAAAAAAAAAAAAAAAAAAAAAAAAAAAAAAAAAAAAAAAAAAACCAAAACACATGAAGGTTATGAGATCAACAACTTACTTCTACCCATGATGAAGACTCAAATCCAAAACCAATTAAATATCCTCCGATTGCTTTATTCTGCTGAATCTAGGTCAGAAAGAACCGCTACAAAGGACGAACAAAATCTGAACGATGCAAAATGG